TATAGACTTTATTACAAGAAAATATAAAATTTCCTTGGAACGTCTGTTTTTTGTGTTGGCAAAAGGATCAGCGGAAAGGGTTTTTTAGATTTTTAAGAAATTGATATTGATTTAATAAGTTTTTAATATATTATATATATTATTGTTATTATTTTTTTTTTTTAAGGATTAAGGTGCGATACACGTGAGGATTTTTATTATAAATTTTATAAATTACAATATATTATTATTATTATATTTAACAGTTAAAAGAGTCTTATGTAATATTAATATATTTCAAACTCATTTTGCTATAGGATTTCATTTTTGACAAAAAAAAAGAAATAAAAAGAAAAGAAGAGAAATTTTCAAAAAGAAAATTTTCTGACAAAGTAAGGATAAGTGAAAAAGAGTTTTTTTTTTTTAATAATAAGAATGTTTATTAAATAATAGCAAAATATATATATAATTTTTTTATTTTAAAAATATTTTGTTATATTTATTGTTAAAAATAATATAAAAATTATATTAATAAATATATAAACTTTATATAATAATAATAATAATAATATATATTTTTTTATTTATATTTAGTTATAATTCTGGCCGGACTTGATCAATTTCAGCATCATCCCCGACATTTATTATTAATTTATTCTTCATTTGACTGATTTCCTTTTATATTAACCTTTTTTCGACTTTACTTTATTGAAAACGAGAAAGTAAACAAATATATGATCTTTTCAATGCTAGTGGGGAAATGGGAAAACGGTAAAAATGAATAAGAAAGCATGCTAACCTATATTAATCAATTTATATTATGTATGTTGATTACGTACGCGGATCAATTAAGACCACGTTTCTAAACATGTATTACATGCTATACATGTATAAAAAAAAAGCCTCATCTATAGTGGACTTGTCTTTTTGTAAAAAAATAGATAGAAACTTTTAAATGTCAACAACTTGGCTGGATTTATTATCTAGGGATTACTTAGCGCTCCTGGAAACTGGCGAATACTATGATTTAGTGATTCATGTAGGCCAGGAATATGATGTTAAAGAATTTAAAGCACATTCGTTAGTATTACGAACAAGATCTACTTACTTTAGAGCAGCATTGTCGAGTACTTGGGCTCGTTTGGAAGGAGGTCTGTTGGCTTTCAATAAACCAAATACATCTCCTAGGGTATTCGAAATAATATTAAAGTATAATTGTTATCTGTTCTTATTGCCGCTATTTTTCATGTTATCTTATTGATCACCTAAATTTCTCCCCAAAAATTTTTTCAACATAGGTATATATACGGAGCCTCTGTAGTCCTACCTGAAAAAGATGTGGAATTCAATATTGAAGTTCTAACGACCGCAGAGGAACTTTGCCTGTCGGATCTATTTGATCATATAGAGGATCATCTTCTCAAAAATCCAGAAGGTTTACTTAATCACTTTGCATTAGTGTATCATTTTGCAACAAAGCACGGACAATTTAAAAGGTTATTGGAATTCTGTGTCAATATCATGGAACAGGATCCATCAATAATATTAGAAGCCCAAGATTTCGTTGATATAAGTCAAGTTACTTTGATCTCAATACTCAAAAAGAAATTCTTAATCATCAGAGAAATTGAGTTGTGGGATAAATTGGTGGAATGGGTGATTGCACAGGCATCTTCTCTTGCGCCTGATCAGGATTTTTGGACCCCGGAGGATTTCAATACGTTCGGTAAAATCGTTCAATCATTTCTGCCCCACGTTAATTTCTCGTTGATTAGTCCTGAGGATTTTGATAGAAAGGTTAGGCCATTTAAACGTTCGTTTGGTGACGATACTTATGCCCGGATATTGGAACATCATCTGTCGCAACTTAATGTTGCCACCGCTACACTATTTCAAACATGGAGTCAGGGTATTGACTCTAAGCTAATCACGACAAAGCAATCAGCAATGATTTGCGGGTGGATGGTGAATGATTCAAATATACAACCTCACAATATACCATTTGAATTTATATTATTAGTAAGAGGGAGTCGTGACGGATTTGGACCAGAGATCTTTCATGAGCGATGTGATCTGAAAGGACCTACGATCACAGTATTGAGGGTGCATCATTCGGGTGAAATTCTTGGCGGATTTAATCCCCTGAGTTGGGAAACGCACGTTGATGGAGTATTTAATAAGACGAAAAAGAGTTTCATATTTTCACTTGGACATGAACAATTGAATAATACTATATATAGCAAAGTGATGGAACCGAACAAGGCAATACTGCAGTGTATAGATTATGGTCCATGTTTTGGATCAGACTTGGCACTAGTAGGCAGCCATGATGGGCATTGGGAAGCAAGATGTTTGAAAGGGAACTATGAGAATCGCATAAGTCCAGGAAACTATGTATTCTTTGCTAATGAGTACGAAGTGTTTCAGATCGTTAGAAAGTCGATTTAAGAAATTGCCTGATCTCCAAAGTAACAATTTGATCTACTCGCTGTTATGCAGTTCCGGTAGTATGCATTAGAAATAGTTTACCGGCCCTATTTAACGAAAGTTTTTGCATTATTTATTTCTCACATACTGAATGCATTTGTTAATACCTCAAAAAAAGATAGAGTTTTCTCAGTTTAACGAACAATAAATTAAATTAAAAATTAAATATTATAAAAAGTAAAATTAAAAGTAAACTTTTAAATTTATGTTGTTAAGTTCTTCCCAGGTTGCCTGACTATAGAGACGAAACAATTACAAACTTTTACCATCCTGTACAAAGTTAAATGTCTTCTTTTAAAATAAGCGTTAATGAAACTCCGAAGCAATAAATGGAATGAATAGATCATTCATGTAAAAAACACCTAAAAGTTTACTTACCAATCGACATCACGGTTTTGATCCAGGGAATAAGTTTTTGAAATAGTATTCAAATTCTTTATTTTTTTGAGTAAGATGGTTTACTTTTTATATATTAATATATAAAAATGTTAAAAATACAAACCTATTATAACGAAGAGGCTGGAATCATAAAGCAAAAATTTCAAGAAATTCCGTATAACAAGGTTCAATTATAAATTCAATATAATGGGCTAAATTTGTTATAAATGTTTCTATGCTTACCTTCGGTATAGTGGGTTTTTACTTAGTCCTTTGGTGTAATAAGGTTCAACTATATATATATATATATAATAGCTTTTATCTACTTGTTTATTATTATTATTTTTTTTGATAAACATTAAATGCAAGATTTTTATTAAACCTTTATTATTTACCAATATATTAAAAATTAAGATAAATTATACAAACTCTAAAAACCCTTATAGAGAAAAAGAAACAAGGTAAATAATAGCTAACTGCTAGTTGTATTAAATCCAGTATGTGTGCTTACTATGTAAATGATTGTAGTAATAGAATAATATTATTGAAAAAATTAATTTTTGTAAATGCTAAACCTAGGAACTAGCTTGTTATTATAATATAACCATGAGTTTATCTATATTAAAAGTCTTGTTTTCAATATAATATAATTATCTTATATTAATTTTTTGAAAAAAGTAAGCTAATTATAGTTTTTTGATATAAATAAAAGTTAAAGAGATAAGACAAAAAAATAATTATATAATAATTCTTTTTGAAGTTATAGTATAATAATAAAGTCAAAATTCAAGTTAAAATATTTGTTTAAATATATATTTTTAATTAAAATTTTTAAACAGAACCAGATTTTAACTAATACTATATAATATATTTGCATATAATCTTTTGTAACTATCAAATTGCTACTTTTAATTAAAAATTCTACAACAATTAAAAAATACTTATTTTAATAATATTAATATATATTAGAACATGTTCTATAATTATGTTCAAATTTGTAATATAAATGATATTTTTTATTTTTTTTTGACTCAATTAATTCAAAATTAAATGGAATATTTTTTGCTTCAACTGGATATTTTCTTATAGCTTGTATTTGTAAATATTTTATAATTATAATAGGTTCTTGAAATATATTTAATATTTTATCCAGAATAATATTTTGTTATTAAATTGTTGAAGTTAACTATTGTGATCAAAATCCGTTTAATCCGTATCCGAGTGGTAGTTTTTAGAAGGAATTAGAGATTATATAGAACAGTCCGTTGTTCCAGAGATAATCTCTCACAAATATTCCAAGGTACGGCAAAGA